CGGTAAAGTAACGATGCACTACACAAGACATCAAAATTGCTCCACCATTTCGCCTGATGGCGTGAAGATATATACTTAAAGTGAAGTTAGTTTCCCAATCATAACGCAGGACATATTTTTCAAAATTCATTATTTGTTACTTAGACCCAAATAGTTATAAAGTACTTGATTCCACGATCAATATGTGAGATATTTATTATTATTATTATTATTATTATTATTATTATTTTGTAGATGCTTAATTAGGAAATTAATAAAATATCCTGGCCGTGACCTGTAGTTACAGGTTAATTAATTTCAGTTTGTAAATTATAATTTCTCTGATAGTGATAAACACAATTAAGTTTTTGACAATTGAAAACATTAAGTAAGAAGAAAAACCCTATTTACTCATTTGTGGTTCCTTGACTAGTAATAGCTAATCTCAGTTGCAGTCATTGTACCTTTTGCCAGTCAGGAGAAGAGACTTGAACAATTACTTTCTTTTGACTCTTGTTCTATTTTGCAGATCTTATCTCATATCTTAGATCCCGAGATAACTGAAATCAAGGTTATGGCCAGAAGTATTTATCAAGTTTCCCGCTGTATTCTTATAAGAGGGTTCATATTGTTATCATCTGGATCAATTACTTGTTTATATGAATATGTCTTACATTGAAGACCAAACCCGAAACATCCAGTTACTGAAGTTTCTTCTCAGTAATTCATGCTCATTCACCTTCAACCCACTCTCTAGAAGTTGCATCGCCTGTCACCCCCGAAGGTGACATGGCAAGAAATCTTTTTCATTACACCTAACTCCAAATGATCTCACTATTATGTATAAACAAAATAGTTTAATGCCAAACTAAACTAGATTGATCATAAGGATCTTAGTAAGCTTATGTTTCGAGAATACTGGGTTCGTCCAATTAGTTGCTTTAGCACCTAAGCATAATATTGAAAAAATGAGCGATTACAGAATAAATGAGGCGTATATTTCTCAATTTCATCATTGGCAACATTGTCTTAATTATATTTTTAAGATATAGATATTTTTCAATCAAGTCCCTCCCAAATAGAAATATAAATAATGGTCCATCACATAATGTGTACATCTGAAATTGATAGACAAAAACAGATATTCGATGATAAATAGATTTATTTAAAGAAACCAAATTGAGAAATAATCAGAATTGAGAAACACCTTATGCATGAGATGAGGACTGAATTGAAAAATAAACAGGGAGATGGATATTACATACTGAATGTATAATAGCAGTAATCTTGTGCCATTGTACAATAACTTGCTTCTGGATTGCTTCATTTATCGTAGGAACTAGAAGAGACATGAACTCGTAGAAGCATTATGATTTCTAGAAACCCAATATTCATCTGAACCCAACCAGAAATAGGAAGTGGGTACAGAGCCAATCTTAGCAACTAACACTACTAAGAAGTTCACTACTTTCACCAGCAGAGATGTTGAGGGCGAGTTTCTGTAATTTGGTTTCCCTTGTTGGGTTCGAACACTTCTTTTCCAAAGCCTACATAAAGATTCATATAACCATATTCACAAATCACTCGATTTACAAGAGAAGTGTACCATTACTACAGTGATGCAGAGAAAAACACAGATGAACAGAGGGAAGGTTGAAATCAAAAGTGAGACGGCGGAGTGCCGTGAATCACACGAAAAGACTATAATGCCCCCGTTTCATGTTTGTAGCTAAGGCTATTCATACGGGGACGGGACAAGATGGAAGCCAGGATAGGACAGGATGCGGCACAGCCTTGTTCTATCCTAGGATATACATTTTTATATATATTTTTTAATTTTTGTTATAGATTACTTTTGTTTATTTATTCTAACAACAAAAAATAAATATTAATCATAAAAAAGTAAATAGAAGTCACATAAAAATTTTAAAAAAATCTCACGAGACATCTTGGTCCTATCCCATCTTGATTAGAACCTGAACAGCTTTGGAATAAGATGAAATATGAGACGGGGTCGTCCCGATTCCGTCCTATCCCGTGAGCATCTCTATTAGTAGGTAAAAGTGTGAAATGCACATGAGACAGGGGTTGAGGTCGTCTCAATTTCGTCCTGTCCCATAAACATCTCTATTGGTAGTTGAAAGTGTGAAATGCAGAAAACAAAAACTTCCCATTGCCGAGAATCAAAGTCTCTTGGGTGAGAGCCGAGTATCCTCATCGGCTGGACTACAACGGATTGAGGGTTTAAACATTGGACAACTAAATTCTGATTATAGTTACAAAGCACATAAGTAGCTGGCCCACGCTAATATGAGTCCAAGTTGTGCAATAGGAAGTCGTCTCTCAGTCTTCTCCTAAACCTTATCCCTAACGTTTGGCTAACCCACATACTACTTTTGTCACTTTCAGACTTCATAGTCCACGCGCCATTCTTTACTATCTTCTCTCAGAAAAGCCAAACTGAATGGAGAGCATGACAATAAAAAAGGATGAAGTCTTAACCTCAAGCTCTAGAGACTTTGAGGTAAAAGTGGCTTCAGAATAAAAATATATTTAATCTTAATAATATTTAATATTTCAGAATTATTAAAAAAAATAATCTTATAAGAAAATCATTAGTAGGTAAAAGTATGTTGTTAATCCTTCAACTTTATATGAATTTAAGTATGATCTCTCAATTTTAAAAAGTATGCTTTTAGTCTTTTAATTCTAAAATTGTTAACGTAAAATAATAACAATTAAAATAATCTTAAATATTGTACTAAGTTTGATTTTTTAAAACAACCATGATTGTTAATGAAACACATCATGTAAGCCTAAAAATTTAAGAGTAAAATACTCTAACCTCCCTTGTATTTTGTCTTAATTACACATACCTTCCCTCTATTTTGAAAACATACACTCAAATCTAAACTATTAACTTTGTTAAGAATATTTCAAAAAGATGTTTTTTTAATTCAAATTTATCTTGAAATACTTTCTATTTACTAAATTACCCTTCATAATACTAAATCCCAAAATCTTGATTAAAACTATATCAAAGAATTTAAGATTTTCTCCTTTACCTTAATTTTATTTTTAAAAAAAAATTTGTTGTTTGTTTAATGTTTTTATCGTATTGGGCCAAAAAATTAACTAATTTAGTTAATACAAACCTAAATTTAAATGATTTATATAAGTTTCCAAACTTGTATAATTTATATTATGTGATAAGAAAATAAGCATTCAAAATATTTTCTAGCCATTTAAAAAAAATCTTGAGTTTCAATATTTCATGAGAAACTAAAATTATATAATTCTATAATCTAATTGAAATTAAAAATTTTATAACATATTAAAAATTTTGAAAATAAATGTATTATAATTATTTGTTGTTGTATCAAATTTTTTTTAATAAATATAAATGTTTAAATAATATTTATGTTAAAGAGGGATATTTTGGTCAAAATAAAAATTTAAAAGTTAAACTTAACGGTCAACTAATGATTAGATGGATAGAAATTGAATCTTAAAAATATAAGAAAGATTTATGTAACATATAGTTTTATTTGAAGGGAAGTTTATATATGTTTTCAAAATAGAAAGGGGGTTTCTGTAATTTAAGTAGAATATAAAGGTAGTTAATGTATTTTACTCAAAATTTTAAGATTGAAAAACTAAATACACACTTTTGTCAACCCATATTTATCGCCATAAACTTGGGTTAGCATATGTTGATATTATTAATTACTTGGTGGGGGGCCCAATAAATAAAAATCTACGACCAAATGAATTCATATATAATTACTTGATAATGGGGTGACGGTGAAACGAAGGGTCGTGATCATCATCGTGCTCCTTTTTTCAATCAATATATTGTAATTTTGGCTCACTTCAATAATTCTCTTTGGCGAATATTCAAAGTTGGTCCCCCGCACAGCTAATTGGATCAATAGGAATATTATTATTATTATTATTATATGATTAACACATGGCTCGTTGTGGTCCTCCATACTCAAAAATATCTGCAATTCCCTCATGAGGGTCTGAAGTTGCTTAGAAACCGTACAACAAAGTAGGGCCTCAATTTTTTTTTTTGGTGAGTTAGTTTTTTCCCCTTGATAAGTACATCAAGAGGTCACCATAGAATGGCAATAGTTCATAAAAAGTTAATGTTAAAATGGGATTTTTTTTTAAAAACAAAAAGTACTAAATATGAGGAATCTAAACACGAGGAGTTTGAAAATTTGAGCAGCCATATTAACTTGTTGTACAAGGACATAAATTGTCATGCATCATCCCAATAATGGAAACCCCACAGCATTGACCCAATTACATAGACTTGAATCCTATCTAAACCAGTGATTTTGAAGCCACTCCTCCCAACTAAAGCTTCAATCTGCTTTTTCGTTTTCTTCTCCATAGTTTCACATATGTCCTACTTTCTTCCCTGTGCTAATTTCTACTGCTTCCCAACTTCTTCTTTCACTTCATCTTCTCTGTAGTTTCCTTTGTGTTATATATTCGGCTTTCTGATCCCCTTTTTTCTTGGTCTTTTCTCGAAAAAAGAAAAAAAAATTCCTGAATTTCCTGCTTTTTGCATTGTTTGTGCTGGCACTTCAATTCGTGATCATTTTTAACTTTATTTTGCTGGTTTTGTGATCTTTCTTCAAAATGAAAAAATCCCAAAAATAATTTTTTAAAAAAAGTGCTCTTTCAATTTGTGATGGCTCACATCTCTTTAAAAAAAAAAACTCGCTATTCCGGATGATTTTATTTTTGGCGAGTTTGACGTTTTTCTTATATTTTTATTGCTTAGTTGATGTTGTTTTTCCTGTTTGATTTCACAAATTCATCATCTTTTTTTTGAAAACTTTCAGATTTTATAGTTGTCGTGGATTTTGTGAAGCATTAGTTTCTTAAAGTTGTCCAAAACACCATTTGAAAAAGGAAAAAAAAAAAAAAAAGAGGTCTCTCATGCTTGATCTCCATATTGGAATGCTGAGGAAAGCTGATTACTGTTAGCAGATCTAAGGATTATGTAGCTTGAATTACAAAGTTTCACATCGCCCACTACTGTAAGTTTGAAACTATGGATTTGTGCCAAAGTTTGTCTCTGTTTAATTGATTTGTATTTACTTGTATTTCAACTTTTGCAGCATATTTATGTGTTTCTGAATACAGGGAGCAGCAGCAAGAAGAAGAAGGAGAAATGTGTTCTAGCCATAGTAAAGATACCTAAGGTCTGGCTCCCTCACTTGAATATTAGAATTTTTTTTTTCAAAGTTCTCATTTAAATATTAACGTGGCTCTCTCAGCTTTACATGATGTCTATTGGTTTTGAAGATACTCTCTTGTGTTTATTTTTTAAAGTTAAATATAAGGGGTTTTCCAACCAAATATATATATATATATATATATATATATATATAAGGCTTTCGTTCTAAATATATATATATAAGCTAAAGTATATATTTGATCCTCTAATTTTATGTGAGGTTTCAATTTGGTTCCTTGATTTAAAAAGTATACTTTTAGTCCTTTAATTCTAAAATTGTTGATTTTAAATGATAATTGTTTTAACAATTATAGTGGTCTTGAAAATTAAACTTAATATATTAGCATTTAATAATATTTTATCAATATTCAAGAGTTTAATATCATTATTTTTTGTTATCAATTTTAAGGTTAGAGGACTAGAAGTTTACTTTTTAAAGTTCGAAAATCAAAATAAAAAATTATGTAAAGTTAAAAGACTAAAAATATACATTAGGACTAAATAATTAATTTTTCATAAAAAGTATCTTTTTACCCCTTGGTTCCATTTTTAACACCATTAAAAATATTTCCATAAAAATTCGAAAGTTTTTATTAAAGAGAAATATTTTGGTCCAAGATGTGTAATTAATATTGGGGTGTGCGAAAATATAATATTAAAAATATAAAGACGGTTTGTTTTGCACAAATTTTAATTCTATAAGTTTATAAATTGTTTAAAAATAAAAAGCATCCTTTCTAAATGTAAAATAAATGGGACGTTCTTACCAAAAAATAAAAAAAATAAATGGGATCTCATTACATTTTATCTTTTCTTTAATACATTCGAAAGTTTGTTTCGTGTTCGCTTAATAAACTGGTCTTAAAAAAACAATATATTAATTGCAAGTTATAAATACATCATCTCGTACTTAAATCAGGATTTTTTTCAACAAAATCCTTGAAACGTTATACATGAATTGAGAGCGTAAAATGGATTTCATGAAATTCTGATGAAACTTGTTGATGAAGAGATAAACTGAATTTAAAAAAAAACAAAGAATATAATTAAGATAATGAGAGAGAAAGATATGAGATACAGAAAAGTGAGAAATTTTTAAGTTATGAGAGAGTGCCACGTAACTTATGCTCTAACTAATAAAAATCTTCCAAATCACACTGTAGGACCCATACTTGTGGCAGACTTTACTTTTGCACAATCTCTCTCTCTCTCTTCTCTCTTTTCTCTTCTCTCAACTCTCCCTCTTTCTTTTTAATTTAATTGTCTCTCTCTCACCCGAAACTTCCTCCCCTCATTTTAAATTTGTTTTATTTCTCTATTTTATTTCTACATATTGTATTTTGAATTTCCAAATCAAAAATAGTAAAATTATATAATAATTAAACTCTGATGGATATGTTAATTTATATTTTATAACCCAACCTTTGAATTGTTTCTCAGATTTTAAAATTCCCTCCTTTTTTTATGATTTATTTTATGTTGACATGTGAAAATTATTCGACCAAAAAAGACATGTCAAAATCTTAACCAGATTTTGATAAAAGGAATCAAACTAAATAAAATATCCGGTTAGGATTTTTTAACTTCAATGACATGCCTTTGCTAATAATAACCTGTGTTTATAAATTTCTTTTTATTTTTCTTCATTTTTTATGAGATCGCTGGTGTATTAATGTTCTAAGAAAAAAAAATCCATCTTGAACAAAAAAATTGAATTTTCAAACCTTTTTTGCAGCTTCAGTGATATTTACTAATGATAGCTTGTGTTTATAAAAGTATTTCATTTTTTCTTATTTTTGGTTTAAAATGTAAACCTTCGGCATTTCAATGTCTTTATTAATGCTATTTTGTAACTCCAGTTAAAGCTTAAAATGCAGTAATATTATTTAAATGAGAGTAAATAAAATTAAAAATGAAGACGGAGGGCGAGATTATGCGAAATTAAAATAGAGAGATAAAACTTAAAAAGTCGTAAACTTACGATAGGGGGAGTTCGAACATGAAGAAAGAGAAAATCAAATTAAAAAGAAAGAGAGAGAGTTGCGAGACGAGAGGGAGCGCGTGTGCGAAAGTAAAAAGAATATATAAATGCCTGCATAAGTATAGGTCCCAAGGAGTGTCTCGTCTCGTTCCGGTACCGGAATAAAATTGAGATAGAATCAGAACGTCTCGCTTTTTTTAAAAAAAAATATTATAAATTTTTACGTGAATTTTTTTATATTATAATATTTATTTTTTATTGAGCTTTTAAAAAAATTATTAAAAAATATTATGTTGAAAGCTCAATTATATAGTATAAAAAATGTATAAAAACAATACTATAAAAAAAAATACCGTAAAAGAGACACTATATAATGGTTTTATGAATTATTTTATTGAGAAAGGAGATTTTGTTGAGATAATACTACAACTTAAAAACTAAAAGTCACTATAAATAATAATTATTATTAATAAGTAAATTGAATAATATAATTATTATTATTAATAAATATTTTTTAAAAAAAAAATCCCGGGATGGGACGGGACGACCTTGTCCCACGTCCCATCCCGTCCCAATTACTGTCCCGTCTAATTCTGTACTTGTCTTATCTTAAAATTTTTTTTGGTCCCATCCTGTCCTGTACCGAATTCAGCAAGTTCAGAACAAGACAAAATGAACACCCCTTCCCATCATGTGATTTGGAGGATATTAATTAGCCAGAGCATAGATTATGCGACACTCTTGTAATACTCATGAATTTCTCAAGAACAGCGTTTTTTTTGGGGGCTTTTTTGGGCCAACGAAAAGCGGAGTTTAATGTAGATAATATATAAGACTTTGATATTTTAAAAAATTTCATATACCATTCTGTCTTTTTTTTTTATTGCCAATAATTTCATATGCTTCTAAAATTGCAATGATGTTTTGCAAAATATAGCTAAAAAGAGCAGCTAATGACACTTTTGGATTTCTCATTTTTCTTCCGACACTTTGATATGAGAAAATAGATTGGTTCCTCCAACTTTTTAGCCCAATTTCCCCCCCATAGTAGTTGCAAACAGTGTCTAGCGTATTTTTTTCTATTGTATCTTAAAATAATTTTATATGCAATTATCATACGAGATATAAGCTACGTTATAATTTTTTTAAATATAAAAAATTAAAATAAATCATATTTTAAGAAAGTTAGCGCACATTTCTTTACATGTAACCAACTCACCTAATCTTTTAAATCCATGCGAATTATCTTAAAAAGATCCTAGCAAAGCAACAATTTGTCATTTTATTCATTCTTTTCTATGTTTCTCTTTAAAAAAGAAAAAGAAAAAACCGAACTAAACGGAGGGAATAGCAATGGAAAACAATGAAGTCCTGACCGTAGTGTTTGAGGCAACCTCGTGGAAGTGGAGTACTGATATGCCTGTGTTTAAATCTTCGAGCGTCTGGCCACTGTCTTGTGCTTAAAATCAATCTTTGAAAAAATGCCTTTACTGAACTTATTACTCCTTTTATTGGCACTTTTTAGTAATATCTGCTTGATTTTCATTTGTTTTCGTTGTCTTAGCTTCTTTCATAATTTCACAGCATTCCTTACTTCTCCTGTGTTTCTTGATTTCTCAACTTGTCATTTTTGTGTTGGAACACCAGGGAAAGCTTCTTACTGTTGGTATATCGAAGGTTTATATACATTCAGATTGCAAAATTTCATATTGGTTATTGGTTATTGTTAGTTCAAAATATACATATTTATGCCAATACTTCTGCGTGAACAACACAAGACTAATTGAGTTTTGGCTACATCTTTTTAACAGAGCACAAATTAAATGGATATTACTTGCGGAACATTGAGCAGTTTTGTTGACAAGTTCTGGGACCTAGTGCTGGACCCAACTTGCGAGCAGTTTCATCATCTGTCTCACTATCACAGAAACATTAAGCAGCTCAATGAACGACTTGTGGAACTCATCGATGAAAGAAGCTCCATAAAACATCAAATAGATGAGGCTACAAACAATGCAGAACCAATTGAAGACAAAGTTCTTCATTGGTTGCGCAAAGTAGATGGGATTTCAGAACAAATTCAAAAGTTTCATGAAGAAGAGAGTCAAGCAAAAACAGGGTGTAGCGTAACTTCATGTCCCAACCCGTGGCTACGCTATAAACTAAGCAAAAGAGCAAAGGCAATGGCGCAAGAAGTTGTTGAAATTTGTGGAAAGGGAAACTTCAATACAGTTTCATATCGCGTTCTTCCGCCATCCATGCCAGAATTATTCAACAGAGAAAGCAATGCAGGGATTGGTTCAAGAGTGCAAATTGTGAATCAAATTATAGAGGAATTACGGAATCCAAGTGTTAATATGATTGGATTGTGTGGGCTTGGTGGTGTTGGCAAGACCACTATAGCTAAAGAGGTAGCAAAGAGTCAAAACATGTTTGAAAAGGTAATCTTAGCAATTGTTTCTCAAGAATTGAATGTTGAGAAGATTCAAGGCCAGATTGCTGTGAAACTGGGTATGCAACTCAATGAAACATTTGAAGAAGTAAGAGCTTGTCATCTGTATGAGAGGTTGAAGCAAGAGAAGAATATGCTCCTAATATTGGATGATCTCTGGGAGGAACTTGATTTTGGCAAAGTTGGAATTCCTTTTGTTGATGTTGAGAATTATAACAAAAAGAATGAAGGCTGCAAAATTTTACTAACTTCAAGGAACGAAACGCTGCTGTCGAACCGCATGAAATGTCAAAAAATTATCAAGGTGGGTTTTTTGTCAGAGGATGAAGCATGGGAGTTGTTCAAGAGGATTGCTGAATTGTCTATTGACTCAAGTAGTCCTGACCTGATATCTATAGCTAATGCGATTGTTCAAAAGTGCAGAGGCTTGCCACTAGCGATTGCTACAGCTGCCAAAGAATTGCTAGGAAAAAATCCAGATGACTGGAAAGATTACCTTGCCCGATTGAATAATCCTTTAAGGAGAAACATCACAGGAATTAGAGAGGTAGATACCATTTTGATATCAAGCTATGATCGTCTAAGCTCATCAGAGAACAAGCATATTTTCTTACTTGGTGCCATGTTGTCCCATGATCCCTCAATCGAAGACCTTCTCATGCACTCTGTGGGGTTAGATTTTCTGAAACACACACAAAACATGGAGGAAGCCCACAATGGAATCTCTGCTATTGTAAGTAAGCTAAAATCATCAAACTTATTTCTTGATAGCTTTTCTAATCATCGTTTTACAATACACGATGTCTTTCGGGACATTGCGTTATCGATTGCATCCGATGAATTACATGCATTCATTGTGATGCATAGAAAGTTGACAGAATGGCCAGACAAAAATACGCAAGAAGGCTATAAAGGAATTTGCTTACGACGGAGTGAAATTGGTGACCTTCCAGAAGAGTTGCATTGTCCAAGATTAGAATTCTTTCTACTAGATAGCACAAAACGTGATTTGACCATACCCAACATGATTTTCAAATCTTTAAAGGAGCTGAAACTATTGGCATTTAGTTTTCTAATAAAACTACCATCACTTAGTTTTCTAATAAAACTAAAAACATTGTGTCTACACTCGTGTTTGTTAGAAGATATAACTGAGGTTAAAAGCTTGAAGAATTTAAAAGTCCTAAGTTTTGCTTACTCTGAAATTGAATTGCTACCAATTCAATTAAGAGAGTTGACTTCTTTACAAATGTTGAATTTGGCCCATTGCTCCAAGCTGAAAGTGATTCCCCCGAAACTTCTATCTTGCTTCAAAAAATTGGAAGTGTTGCACATGGGAAACAGCTTTAACCAATGGAAAATTGAAGAATCTAGTGAAGCTAATGAAAATGCAAGTCTTGATGAGTTAAAGGATTTGCCCATCTCTTCTCTCGATATTCATATTCCTAATGTCTCTATGTTGCCGGAGACTTTGTTCTTAGATTTGAATTTGAAGAGATATAGAATATTCATTGGAGAGCTTTGGAAATGGCAAGGCAATCATGAAACTTCAAAGATATTAAAACTTGAGCTAGAGGGTAGTATCCATTTGAAGCCTGGGGTACGAAAGTTGATAACAGGAGCTGAAGATTTGTATTTATATGGATCTAGTGGGCTTGAAAATGTTCTTCATGGTCACGATGGAAGAGCATTTCCACATTTAAGGCATTTTCAAATTGAAAGTAATGATACTATTAGATACATTGTTTTGAACTCAGCACATCTTGAAGCTGCAACAAATAACATATCCAGCAAAATATCTGAGTTACTTTTCAACAAGGTATTTCCAGATTATTTTGTTTACAAATTTTTTCTTATTTTATCTTCTTACAAAACTTCAAAATTATATGCAAAAATCATTTTCACTAGAATTACTTGCTCTACTATTAGGCAATTATGGAAGTTTGCAGCTTTTTATTTTTTTTAATTACTTAAAATCAGCTAATAGTAGAGAAAAGCCAATAACTTTAGGTTTTAAAATAAATAATGAAGCCTCAAATTATTCATTTTACATCCTAAAAACACGTCAACGTGATATTTTGGAGTATCTTAATATATGAATTGTTTCCGTTACAAAAACAGCATTTTATGAGTATTTTGGATGCTATGAATAACGACACTGTTGGACGGGGATGCCAGACGCTTGTGCTGTTCATTACTCAAAAAAAATATTTATGAGAAAGTAGCTCATGGTTTTCCAATCCCTTTTCAGCAATAGGTTATATTCATATTATTTTAGTTACTTTTTCTTGTTTTAACTTTACCACAAAACTTCAAACTTAATTACCTGTAAAAAAAAAAAAATCATTTTCACTACAGTTATCTGCTTTGCCGGAGTCTTTTTTCTAATTTTTTCTAACAAAATCTACAAAAATTACATTCACTGGAACCACTTAATTTGGTATTATGCTAATTACTATAGCATTTTATAGTTCTTTCACTTTTTTAATTACTTAATTTTTATTTTGTGACCGTGAAATTTCAAATTGAACTTTTAGCAATGGCTTGAAAAGGATTGTGATAGATGAGATTTTTATTTGGAAATTTTAATGAAAAGTAAGCCTATGGATTATAAGTTATTTGTGTTTAATCATATTTTCTTTCAACAGGTGTTACTTCCAAAATTAGAGAGGTTGGAATTGTCCAATTCAATCAATTTGATTCCAACGATATGGGATGACCAACTTTCACACACCTCATTTAGCAATTTGAAAACATTGATTGTGAAAAACTGTGGCTTTGTGAAATTAGTGCCCCTTTGTGTGCTAAGATCTTTATACAAGTTGGAAGAACTGGAAGTCAGGAATTGTCACATGTTGGAGATGGTGCTTGATTTTGAAGATTTGAACGAATATAGAGAGACGGTGTCATTATCAATCCAGGTTGTGCCACTGAAGAAGTTAACGCTACATGGCTTGCCAAAATTGAAGAATGTGTGGAGCAATCACTACCAAGGAAATGTCTCCTTCCCATGTCTAAGGAATGTCAATGTTTTTAGATGTGAAAGTCTCACAAGTATATTTCCTGCATCCATAGCCAAAGGCATGCTTTGTGATCTTGAAGAGCTTCGAATAGATGATTGTGGTATAGATGTAGTTGTTGCAAAAGATCAAGTTTCAGAATCTATTGTTGCTGCATTTGAGTTTCCTAGGCTGACTTCCCTTCAGCTTTGTTGGCTTGAAAATTTGAAGAACTTTTATCCACAGAGACACACGTTAGAATGGCCACAACTTCGACGATTATCCATTAGGTATTGTGATGAGTTAGAGATATTTGAAAAGGAAGCCTCAAATTCATTTGAAATACATGAGGAAGAAAGCACACTAGACTCAAAATATCATCTACTATCCCATCACAAGGTACATTTCTAAATTAGCTATTCACGTCTTATTTGTTTTAAAAATAAGGTAGTAAAAGAGCAAAACGAACTTGAAGCATTAAAATAAATAATGAAACATCAAATTATTTTGTTTTAGAACGTAAAAACACTTGAATTTGATATTTTTGAGTATACAAATATGTAAATTACTCCAATTACCAAAATATTTATTAGAATATAGTGCTGTTTAGGACTTTATGATTGGCTTTTAAAAAAACAAAAAATAATTCATTATAATTATTTTAATTAGTAGATTTTGTAAATAATGTTCTGTTCTTTCTTTTTCAAAGAGGAACTTCAATCCTCAGCTTTCATCCTCACATAAAAGAGGTGTGTCGTTGAATCAGGCGAGGGGATAATATGGTCCCCCCCCCTTTTTCCCCTTAGACATTATAAGCTTTAATATAATATTTTATTTTCTAAAAAGAAGGGAGGTATAATGTCTGTGTGTCATTATAACCAATTATTGTAACTCCAGATACCGAAAATTTATATTATTTATTTTAATTTATTATAGTTCATATTTGAAGTTCATAAAATATACGTATGTGAAAATTGTGGATGCATCAAATTTTAATTTGAAGATCCCCTCATGAAAATCACATATGGTTTTTGACGTACGTATTAATTTATTGGTACAGTTAGTTACTATTTATATATTGTGCAGGATATTCGTAATTTGGAGGAGTTGAGATTGGAGGGTAAAGGTGCTGAGATGATAGGGAGTGGCCAGTCTCCAGCGTACCACTTTCCCAAAGTAAAACTGCTTCATCTATCTGTAAAGAAAGCCACAACTATATCGTACAGATCATTGTTGAAGAGCTTTCCAAAATTAGAGGAGTTAGAGTTCGGTGGTGACATTAAGGAGGCTTTTGGTGGGGACGAAGTTCCCTTTCCAATAAAATTGACTCTTGAGCATCTTTACAAGATGAGAAGCTTGGCACCATCCTTAGTTTCTTTACCAAATCTCACACATCTTACAGTGAGATATTCTTATGGGCTGACCACTTTGATGACGTCATCAACTGCTCGAATCTTGGTCCATCTAACACATCTCTCAATTGGTGACTGCAATCAAATAGAGGGAATCATATCGAAGCACGAAGGAGAGGATGATAAGGATAAGGAAATCTTTTTCAACAAATTGCAGTACTTGCAACTTTGTGACCTACCAAGACTGAAGAGATTTTGCGGCCATAATTATACTTGCAACTTTGTGACCTACCAATCCACCAACAGGTGCGTCCACCAGCATGCTTAATTCTTTCTATTTCCATATTTTACAAAAATACTCATCTATCAAAGTTCCATGTTTATGATATTTAATATAAATCTCCCTTTACTTATTTTGGTTTAATTAAAGATTCTGCTAAACTTGTAAGTATAATCTTCTTGCATCAGTTTAATTACAAATTAAACACCACAAAAAGTTTCGTCATAATTAATTGATTGAATACATAGCAGTGTTTTAGTATTATTATTCTTCTTTGTCGTAGTTGATGATATCCTTATTTCTTTTCCAATATTAATAATAAAAATTAAGGAACTCAAAATGTGTGACTCTTCTTTCATTAGGAAGATAATGGGCGACAAAATTGTTCATCGTTTTCTTTCTTCTGGCTCGTGAGCGTATTTGACTTTGGGACTCAATAAAAAATAATTATTGTTACGCTAATGATTCAATATGAAGTTACGTGATATAAAAATAGGACATTATCATTTATAAACATTTCTCAGTACAATTGAATAATATATCTTTGCCTATATTCGTTTTACAGCGATTTGTCGGTACAAGAGAGCTGGTGTTAGATGAGGATGATGTCAGCATGATAAGGAATGACCAATTTCCAGCGGACCGTTTTTCTCACGTCGAAATTCTTCGCATAGAAGGATTTGTTGGTGATGGGGTAACATTTCCGTACACATTGCTTGGAAGATTTCCGAAACTGAGTGAACTTCGTGTGAAGAATAGTTCTTTTGAGGAGATATTCCCATCACATAATGCACACATTATTGTTGATCAAATTCCACCATTCAGGGAACTCTGCCTTGCCAATTTGACGGTGCTCAAGGTGTCTCAGTGTAATCTTCTTGTCTATTTAATGACAAATTCAACTGCCAAAAGCTTGGTGAATCTAGAAACATTGGAGATAAGTCACTGCCGTGAGATGGAAGAAATTGTAATGAAGCAGGATGGAGAAGATGATGAGGACGAGGAAATCATTTTTAGCAAACTGAAGCTTTTGGAACTTGACTATTTACCAAGATTGAAGAGATTTAGTAGTCACAGTTATACTTTCAGGTTTCCATTATTAAAATGTGTAACTGTAGCAGATTGTTCTCAGCTCACAATGTTCTGTCCAGGAGCCATTCATGCCCCGCAGCTTCAAAGCATTCGAGTACAAAAATATGATCAGCCTAAACATATTTGGATGACCGATCTTAACAATACCATCCAACATCGGTTTATGACTCAAGAGGTAAGTCCAACATTCTAACATTCTTATTTTCTACTTTTTAAATAGTTCCTTATCATCTACAAAATTTAGGGCTATTTAATACAAATATTGAAGTCGTTCTGCCGTCTCCCATAAATTATACACTTTTCATGTTACAAGACTCTAATTGCGCGCAAATGATGACAAATGAATTAATGTGGTATGCTACAAATAGTGTCGCATTGTTTGGTACGTTTTTTCCTAAAAGGGAGCTATAAAATGATTCAAAAGAATTTTTTTAAATTTTAAAATATGGATGTGATTTTAGAGGGAAAATCAACAACAACAAGCCTTAATATAAATATTAGAAAAAAATTGACCAATTGTTGAAGAAAATTTTTATCTAAAATAAAAAATTATTATTTTAAAAAATATCTTGACTTAATTTATTAAACTGCCGTCTTATAGTAATAATTTTATCAATAAGCGTTTCATATGTAGTTTTCACCGCCAAGAGCCTAAAGATAAATGTGAATTCGAAGGAAATGATATTTTTTTTGTCCTAATTTAATTTGGAGTAAAAAAGCGGATAATAAAATTAATTTACCTTTTTTCTCTAATTTTAATGCATGGATGTGATTTTTGGGGCAAATGATGAAAAGTATACAAATTAGTCTGAACAATATCTTGATCTAATTTACTATATTGCATATTAATTATGGTAACTGTTTTATTAATTTTAATTTTATAGGTAGCTTCCACAACCCGATGCATGGTATTAAATGCGGAGAATATCATGATGATAAAGGATGTCTTTCCTAAAGTAACAGTTCTTGATGTAGAAAGCTTCCAAGATGTGAGTCCAAAAAAAAAAAAAAAGCTTCCAAGATGAATGGATGACCTTTCCCTATAGCTCACTTGAAAGATTTCCTAAGTTGGATCGGCTTTGTGTGCGGCATAGTTCCTTTGAGGAGATATTCCCTTCACAGGACCAGATTATTAATTTTATGGGAAAAATCCTCCCATTGAAGAGATTATACATTTCTAATTTGGATAAACTCAAGAGTATATGGAAGGATGATTCTCAACTACCACCAATTCATCAAAGTCTGCAATTCCTCAGTGTCAATAGTTGCTGTAACTTGGTCAAGTTAACACCATCATCTGCTTCATTTGAAAAGTTGAGAAGCCTATCCGTATCAGGATGTCATCAGCTCATCCATTTAGTGACAAGTTCAACTGCCAAAAGCTTGGTGGGACTTGAATGGTTGATGATAAATGATTGCAAAAAGATGGAGGAAATTGTAAAGAATGAGACCAATGAAGATGTCGAAGGTGGAATCACATTCAACCAATTGCATAGGATCAGACTTATTGATATGCTAAGCTTGAAGATGTTTTCTTCACAAAGTTGCACCTTCGAATTCCCAAAATTAGAAGACATAGTAATAACTGGATGCCCTCAAATGAAGAAGTTTGGTCTAGGAGTGTTGAAAACACCAAAGTTATCTAAAGTGAAAATAGAAGGATGTGATGTGGAATGGGCAAATGAAGGGGACCTTAACAAAACAATAGAAATGCTATCCTCAGCAAAGGTATGATATATACACACCAACAAATATTGTTTCCAAACATGCATAGTTAATGACCAAGCGCAAATAGGAAATTGATTTATATCGTACTTATGCCAATTACATATTTTTTTTTCGGTGATAAAATTAAATTTTTTTAGGAAAACTAATACTATGACATGGTATTGCAGGGTAGCGTTAATTGATGGAGGGATAAGTCCATCATCCATGTTATCATTTTCAGGTTAGTTAGTTTTATGATTTTTCCTGCTTATTGTCTATGTTTTGCTCTAGTAGTTATTATGATATCAATGAAAGCCTCTTATATGAAGGGATGAAGCGTTAAAAAGAAAAACTTGCATCTATTTTTGCTCCTATACGCCAATTTTTCTTTTCTTAAATTATTTGCATCTTTTTTGCTACATTTGTCTGTGCTTTCCTATCACTAAAAAACAGAGTTGCTTGTTAAAATTTATTTCAATATTTTTTCCAATAGTAATTACTATAATAACGTCAACAACTGCTACGTACATTAATTAAGGGACGAAACAGAGGATCCATCTTTGTGTGTGTGTGTGTGTGTGTTTTTTTAAAAAAAATTTATACATGCCAATTTCCATTTGTTTGTGCACATTCCCTCTCTATTGTATCGGTTGATTTAGACAATAACTTTGCTTATTTTAAAGAGATTGACAGTGATTAAGGAGAAAAGAAACAACTGGCATATTTAGGGGGGAAAAAAGATGATCTTGATAATTTGATTCCCCCAGCTATTTTAACCCAATTTTCCCAC